CCCAGCGGCCCTCGGTGACTGCAGGAGGATCTGCTGACCCAGCAGTGTGGTCAGCCTGTCACGTTAGCTCTTAGCGCCCTCCAATCCCGGGCTCAAGGGAGCGGACCCCGGAGACTTCTGTTGTTCACTTTCTGTTTAGTTTTTTTAGTTTCCAGAAACAAGTGAGTTGATTCTCATCTCCCCACCCCATTCCCCCATTTCTGCTTATTCTGTGCTTTCATTTGGGATAACATCCTTGACTTCCCCTTCACTTGTGTTGACAACATAGATTTCTCACAGACTCCTTAAAAAATATGCGCCCCAATAGGACAGAATGCATTAATTATTAGAGTGGAAATAAGGTCAAAATTCAGTATCCAGTGGAATTTATTTTAAAACTACAACAGGCAATCAAGTACTGTTGTAAATGGAACTATAGCCAGCCTTAAACATAGAAGAGAATGTAGGAGAAAGTGTGTGTTCTGTAGACTGGGCTATGGAGGAAGCAGAGGGTCCTTTGTTTTCCTTCGTGTGACTGTGGGTGCTGAGGATGCTTTTCCTGAATGAGAAGACTCTAGAGTATCTGGGAGTTTACAAGAGTTCTTTTAAGTGTGCTCCAACCTCGACTTGACTAGAGATCAAGGTAACCAGCCCACATAGGATCTGCTCAGGATATGGGACCACTTTGGGTGGGTCATGTCTGTGTTTTCCCTGTACACCTTTAGGAAGCCTGAGTGGTAGATGATACATATCTGGTCAGACACACATGCCTTGGCATGAGCTTGTTTTATGGCAAGCAAAAGGAAGTTTTAAACAATTATTATTTACAAAGCAGATTTAGAACATTTTTCCTTGTTTTCCTGCACAATGGAGAGAGTTAGGATTCTTTCATGCAACAGCACTGGCAGTAACAAACAAAACTTTCCAAATAGTCAAGTTGTTAGGGAAGTTGCTAGAGTGTATTTGCATACCATTTCCTTCGCCATCTGGTGGGTCTGAACCCCATTTCCTAATTCTCTTACTCCTTTCTCATACTGCTCAAGAACTTCTCAATCCTGGTTGCACATCTGAACAAGTAGGACTTAAAAAAAAATAATAATGCAGGTACCCCACAACCCAGTTGTATATTGAATCAGAGTCTACAGGAGTCAGGCCTGGGCATGTTTTGTTCTGCTTTTTTGTTTTCATCATACAGATGATTCAGATGCATAATTCATTTTGAAAAAAAAAAAAGAAGAAGAAGAAGAGCTGCCTTATTCTCAAGCCATCCAAGTAAAGGCTGTTCTTTCATAGGCCACATGACTACATTCTTTACATTTGCTCTTTGTTGTACTTTGAACACGCTTTGGTGAGCTTAACTGCTCCCAGTTGCTCAATACTCTTCAAGCTTAAACATAACCTTCCTGGAGGCCTGCTTGTCTCACTATGCAGAATAGCTCCCATAGTATTTTCATATCTGAGAAGTCCTCTCCTAGGTACGTCTGAACTCATAACCAATACATTGAAAAGGTTGGTTTAAACACTGAATTGTATATTTTATAAGAATGAAAGTTATGGCATGTAGGTTATACCCATGTAAAGCTCTTCAAAAGAGAAGAAAGCTAAGAAGTGTAGCAAAGTATTGTGAAATTTCTTTAATCTGGCTTATGCTCATTTGCCAGTCAGTTGGGAAAGTCCAGAGTCTTTTAGCACATGATCAACTTATTTTTCTGTATTGCATCTCTTACATAAAGCGCACAACTACCCTTAAACATAAATGATTCCCAAATATTCTGTTTCTTTAAGAGGAAAGTAATTTAAAGTTCCTCTTGAAGCACTCTGAATGTAAACATATCCTCAAACTTATTCTTTTATAGTTATCTCACACCCGTTGCTGTGTCTTTTGAAATTATTAAACATTGACTTCAGAGAAACAAAGACTTTGTATCTATGTCATATAATTGGTTTGTATAATAATTAAGTTATAAAAGCATAGTATCCAGTATAGCTGGCATGAACAGGTTTGAGAACAAACAGATAATTTATGGTATGATTGTGTAGTTCAACTGGTAAGCCCCTGAGTAGTTTCCTAACCATGACCATTAGGCACGTTATGGGAATTAACCACCTAGGATTTACAAAGGGAGTAGAAAAGATAAGTTGTTTAGAAGCCAAGTGTAGATAGGCTAAAAACATCCACTCCACCCCTCTATTTTTAATTATTTGACTGTAGGTCATAGAACCAGCATTTGGGAGGCTCAACTATTAAGGAAAACCCTTGGGAAGTCCATATATATAGTAAATTCTATCAGATTAGTAGAAATTTTAAGATCTGTGACCAATTTTTAAAAATTTGTATTACATTTATTTATTGTGTGTGTGTGTGTGTGTGTGTGTGTGTGTGTATGTGTGTGCCGTGTATATGTGTATGCAAGTTCATACACGTGGATGTCAAATGACGACTTGAGTCAGTGCTCTTCTTCCACTGTGCGAATCTCAGGGATTGAATGTTGGCTCTCAGGGTTGGATGCAAGCATCCTTACCCACTGAACCATCTCACTGGCCTAGACAGTTGTTTTTAAGACATTTGAATTAAAGTGTATGAGTCTTTACAGAAAAGGCCCTGTAATCAATGCAAATTTCCTTGTTAATAGCGCCTGTTAGTTTTCTGGGGCTGCCAAAACAAATTACCACAAACTGGATGAAGTAACAAAAATCTATTTTCTATCAGTTATGAAGACCAAATAGTAAACTGAAATGTTACCCCAATCTTGCATCATTTGAAGGTTTTTGGCCTTCCATCTTTTTTTATTGAAAAAATATGTTCATATAATATATTCTGAGCATGCTTTTCTCCCCTCCAAAATCCTCCCAGATCTTCCCTACCCACCTCACTCCACATCTCTTCTTTCTCTCTTTAAAAAACAAACAAAAATTCAAGAAGCACACAAAACCCATAAAAATATAAAACTGAAAACCAAAGCATACAAGCAAAAGACCAGTAAGACAAAAAACAAATGTCCAAGCAAAGGTGTATGAGCTCAAAGGCTACAAAAATAGCATTGAGTTTGTTTAGTGTTGACATCAAGTGCTGAGCATGGGACCTACCCTGAAGTGTGGCTTACAGGCCCAGTGAGACTCCATTGGAGAAGACTAATTTTTCCTTTGCAAACAGATACCAATTGGAGATAGTTCTTGGTTAAATGTGGAATCCCAAGTGGACTTCCCCCTCTTAGCGTTGGGACCTGCACTGGCTTGAAACTGTGCAGGCTTTGTGTATGCTGTCACAGTCTCTGTGAGTTTATATGTGCTTCAGTCCTTTTGTGTCTGAAAGACATTGTTTCTTTGGTGTCATTCATTCCCTCTGGATCTAGCAATCTTTCTGCTTCCTCTTTCACATAGGTGCCTTAATGAGGAATTACCAATACGGAGTCAGGTAAAAAATACAAGGGTATTTATTAGGGAGATGCCTTACTTACAGAATAACCTAACCAGCCGGTGGGGCACGAAGTAAGTACACAAAGCCGATGATGAAAAGGATCTTTGCAGGTGTGGTCAGGTAGCCTGTAGCCAACCCCTAGCAGGCATGGTTATGGTGTCCCCTACAAATCCTGAACACTGAGGGGAGGGTTTGATCAAGATATCCCATTTAGGAATGTGTGTGCCAATGTTTTTTACTCTGCCCATTGTCCAGTTGTGGGTCTCTGTGCTAGTTCCCATTTGCTGTAAGAAGCAGCTCCTCTGATGATAGCCAAGCAAGGTACCAATCTATAGGTATAGCACAACATTATTAAAAGTCATTTTATTGCTATATTCCTTTACCTGAACAATAGTATTTGGGTTTTCCTTACATCCATGGCCTATCCTTCTCAGGTTCTTGGCCACCCTAGGTGTTTCATGAGATTCCATCTCATAGAATGGGCATTAAATCCATTCAGAGACTGATTGGTTCCTCTCACATTTGTTTCACTATTACACCAGCACACCTCACAGGCAGATCACCATTGTAGGTTTGTAACTAGGTTGATGATTACCCTTCTTCTCTGGTAACATGCAGAGTACCTTCTAGTACAACAAACTAGTACTAATCAGTAGAGGTGAAGCCTCTATTTAGGCACCAGCTTGTCTTCTCTGTGTTAACTGAGGTATGTAAGTATTGTCTTCAACAACAGAAGGAGAGGATATCCCAAGGAATGATAAAATTTATCATTAAGGAAAGATGTGGTAGTGGGGGCAGAGTAGGAGGATTAAATGGGGAGAGGTTTGGAAGAGATGGACAACTAGCATGAGAGGCCATTAGAAGGTCAATATGGAAACATTCCACTGAAGAAGCTTCCTAAAATATATACATATATTATTAATATTAATATATATATTAAATATAAATGGAATCTTCAGATCATGGGGGTTAAATGCCCAACTGGATACCTTATGACACCTGATTAAACCTCTAGTGCCATCAGTGAGTTGAGTCACTAGCCAGATTCCATGGAAACCCCTAAACATCTTAGGTACCAGCTTGACTTCTATATGTTCACTGAGGTATGTAAGTGTTGTCTTCAACGATAGGGTCTTACCATAAGCTTGTGGAGACTAACCATGGAATCCCAGTACCTCCACTCAGGTCAGTAGCTAACGTCTATGGTTATGCTAATTGCAGAACACAAATTGAAGGCTTGAAAGCCAGCATCCACATATAAGAGAAAACATACAAGTAGTATTTTTTTTGGTGGGGCATGGGTGCTGAGTTATCTTAATCAAGATGTATTTTGTTTTTAGTTCCATCCACTTACCTGCGAAATTCCTAATTTTGTTTTGTTTTATGACCTTTTAAATCATTTATTAATATCCCATTGTGTAAATGCACCACATTTTTATTATCTATTCATTGTTTCATGGGCATCTAGGCTGTTTGCAATTTCTGGCTGTTATGAATACAGCAGCAATGAACCTGGATAATCAAGTATGTGTGTAGTAGGATGTAGGCGCCTATGGGTATATGCCCAGGAGTGGTGTAGCTACATATTAAGGTAGATTGATTTCCAGCTCCCTGAGGAACTGCCACATTGATTTCCATAGCAGTTGCACAACTTTGCACTCCTACCAGCAATGAATAAGTGTTACCTTTTCCCCACATCCTCCCAGCAGGAGCTGTCATTTATTTAGTTTATTGAGCTTGGCCATTCCACCTGGCATAAATTGA